TGCCCTCTCAGAAGTTTGTTTCTGGCACTAATGGCTCTGCCAGACTGAATATGGTTCAGACACCGGTGACTGGAGTAATTTGACCTATTTTACAACTGCTGCACTTCCCACTTAGTAAAGCCAGGCCTGTCAGGAGGTGCTGAGTATAGTCATTGTTGCTGAATTAATGGTAGGTTGGTGGCCATGTTTTATATGACCATACAAAGTTTGTTTGCAAATACTGAACAGTAAAGAGACAAAAGTCAATAAAGCAATAGAGATATACCTGTTTTATCATTTATTTCACTCTAGCTTGTCTGCAAGAGCAGTAAAGCACTCATTGATTTTTTTCACATCAATAAACATATGCATTATGTGCTTTATGTACAATGTGTAAACCTTGTAAAAAGAACCCAACTTTATAAAAAAACTTCCTGTAACCTAAAGAAACCAATGTAAATCCAATCCAATGCATAATATTTAAGCATTATTTTTTCATATTAGCATGAGTGATTGTTGTGCTGAAAATTGTGTTATATATATTCAGACCAACAGCATGATTGCATACATGTTATATTGTTTTTTTATAAAACGGTTAGTTCTATTCCTCGATTCTGATTGGTCAGCAGCTGTGTTTTATCAAAGAGTATAGAATACCCAAGACGTGTCACTCATATAGTTTTGAATGGGGAAAAATGCAACGCTCAATATGACCGCTCTATCGAACGAAACCTCGCCTTCTGAGCAAAAGAGCCAGTCGCTAATCGGTAAAGTCAGCGTGTCACTGCAGTTGCCGTTAGAAGTCCCGGTTGCTATAGAAACAGTCAGCGTTCTGAGACTTGCACCTAGGACTGCGCATGCGCACTGGCTGATCTAGTCTGAGAAATAAGCTTTTTATAACGCCATTGAGCAAAATAAACAACATTTATGACAAAGATTTCTTTGGTGATTTCAAATATGAAATTTAATCGCAAGCTTAGTAAACAGTTTTGGAGAATTTGATGTTTCCCCATTCAAAGAGATAAGAGTTTCACTTGCATGCCCGAGAGGCGTTTCAAAGATGGCCGCCGAGTGACATGACTTGCCTTAAAAGGCAAGTATCGTGCTGTATCGTGACCTTATTCACGATACAGCCCGGCTATGACCGCTTAACCCAAAGGTTCTGTGTATCACTGAGCAGCACTTTTCTATTTATTCGAGTAATCATGACAATCGTTCTCCCAACATTCTTATTACTTTTAATTTAATGATTATTTATAAACGGTTAGTTCCAGTCCTGGATTCTGATTGGTCAGCAGCTGTGATTTATTCACGATAAAGCACAGCTATGACCACTTCACCCAACTGTTCTGTGTATCACTGAGCAACATCCTTAGCAACCACCCTTAGCAACATAAACAATCAATAATATAGCATTAAAACTGTTCCGTGTATTATGTATTTCAGTAGAATTAACTGTTTGATATTTATTTAATGAAGTTTATAAAACGGTTAGTTCCATTCCTCAATTCTGATTGGTCAGCAGCGGTGTTTTATTCACGATACAGCACGGCTATGACCTCTTCACCCAACAGTTCTGTGTATCACTGAGCAACACCCTTAGCAACATAAGCAATCAATAATATAGCATCAAAACTGTTTCATTTATTATGTATTTCGGCAGAATTAACTGTTTGTTATTTATTTAATGAAGTATGAGTGACCCCTGCTGGCGTTATCTCTCATCTTTAATTTTGAGATCCCGTCTAATAAATGCTTCTCATGCGGAGATATGTGCGGCGCGCGTCTGTGTGGAAGCCTACAGTTTCCGAAGTGAGGAGGGAATATTACTGTATTTATTAGTTTTCTGTTTCAGGTATGATTCTGTAGCTATGTCCATATGTCCATCAGTTTACACTGTAATGACGCTTGCAAAATCGCTCTGTGCCGCGAATCGGTCTGTTATAAAACTAAAAGACGGGAAATGGACGTTTTCTCATGCTGAGAGATAAGCAGATGTATGTGTGTGAGAAAATATCATATATTGTGTTAATAAAAAAAAAAACAGCAGATGATAAGAGCTCCTATTCTCTGTTTTTATTTAAGCTCCATTAGATGAGGCATGTTACATCGGAACATTCTCTTGCCGTTTACTGTTTCTGTCAGGAACTATTTTTTAGCGGAAGGAGAGCATTTAACAAACTTGCTTCAAAAAAGTAACATTTCAATACATACGTTTTTGGTTTTAATAATTTTTATTGTGTGCTAACCGTTTTATAAAAGCAATAAGGTACTCGAGGCCGTTCTGTATTGTGAATAAATCACAGCTGAAGGGGTTGCAGATTTATTCACGATACAGCACGGCCTCGATTACCTTATTGCTTACATACAAATAACAGCAACAAAAAAGTTAATATTGAGTAACTTACATTATACATGCAGTAATGCCTTTTATGTTGTAATGTTTTTGAACAAATTGATTGAATGAATGATTCAATGACTCACTCAAAAAGAGTAATTTGTCACAAACTTACTGGCAGAACAATATAACCATTCAATGACAGTTTTCTGAATTCCATTTTAATGGTTTAATACAATTTTAATAGTCAAAAATAATTTTGAATTAGCAGTTGAATTAAAAAAACTAGAAGGCTGGTTGAAGAAATGACAGAAATATCTTACTGTCATTTCTTCAACATGCTTTAATATGTGTAGATGAAACTGCATGCTCATTCACACAGAGACATGCAGAACATGCAGACTTCATATTTAGCACTTTTTTTGGTTTATTATTCTCAGACACTAGTTCATATCGCAATTTAATTTAGTGTACGGCCCTCCTTTCGATTTATTCTTCCAAGTTTCCCAAATTCTGTGACATTCTGTGTTATTCCATTTTTATGGATTGGATTCTGTAATTCTGCCCTACTAAATACCCTGCAAAGATTCATCATGTAAACCTAAAGAAAGGTCTGAATACTTAGTACAAGTTTGCTTAATGAAGCTGACATTGCTTTTCCCATTGGCAGTACAGTGAAAAGTGGTTCACACTGAAATATTGCTACATTTTGCTGGAAAAAGCATCGTAGAAACACTGACCCAAACCAAATAAATCTGGAGACACATGTATATGACTTATAATAAAGCAATTAAGCTCTGACATGTTTTATTAGTAATGGCTCCATGTGCGCATGTGTTGGCTTGCTGCGGATGTGTCCCAGGGCACCAATGAGTGTCACTATCATAGCAGACGATAAGCTTTGGGCTCGCCTTTGACCCCACACCTCATTAATCAACTGCTCGTGAATATCTGACCTCCTCCACCTACCTCTCAAACATGCCATCTAATTCAGCGCTAAAAGATACATAAAACTCGCCCATAGAACAGTTATTTTAATTTGTAATACTAGTTAATAATTTACAGTATTTCTGATAAAATAAATGCAGCTGTGAATATTTTGTATAGTAGGTTTCTTCACTTTTACCTCTCAGGTTTCCGTTTCCTCTGAGAAAATGAGTTAATTAGAGAGTTTCAAGGGCTGAGTGTTGTTGACAGAGGATGTAGATATGATAGTCTATCATATCTGTCATGCCTGGCTTTTGGCCATGCTAATCGTCACTGTAAAACAAGCTGCTGAAAGGTTATGCTGCATATGAACTTTTCTCTGCTTTCTGTACTGAAACATCTGATAAATGGGCAGCTCCTTAAGATGCCTTTAGATGCCCCAGGCTGCTCTACATCCCACCATGTCATCGTTTGTTTATTGTGTACTGACAGCTGTAACTATGGAGATGCCCGTTTTTTGTGACTATGCAACAGCTGTTTTTGTAACCACCGATGTTTCAGCTGGAGGGACCAAGAATCCCCCACAACCAGGAATGTTAAAGTCTATGGTCTCCTGGAGGGCTTTTCTTCCATGACATCAAACTCGCCTAAATACCTCCACGTCATTGATTTGATATATTTTCAGTCCCACATCTGTGCGCTCTGATTTTAACTTGGTCTGGTGTGTCTTTAGGAATACTCCTGGTTAACTAGGAGTCGACCTCTGTCGACAGCATCTGTTCCGTGCTGTTTATTACCACTGAGAACAAGTTCAAATCAACCCCCGGTTTGTAAAAATAAAACAATAAACATGCTGACAGTTGTGTCAACATGTGCTTACAATGGAAATCTTTTGGGCAATTATCATATAGTGTGCAACAGATGCTGTCGATAGAGCTCAACTTGTATTTAAGCTGAAATATTCTCTTAACCTGCTATTTTGGGGGCAATTAGAGATGTACAATATACCAGTACTGTATTGGATATCAGCTGTCATTAGAGCACAATATTGTAAATATGACATTTAGAGGCTAATTTTGGATACTTAATTTTACACATTCATTTCCTCTATTTTTAAATATCAAAATCAATCTATTTTTCATACTGTACATTATAATGTTGTTATGCCTATAGATTCATATAGCATTTAAACATTTTATTGTATTATTTTATTATATTATAATTTTTTAGATGAAATCATTTTGAATTATGTAGAATTGTAATGACCCATTTAATAAGTTTTTTTTTAATTAATGCATTTATTTAGCAATAATGGATTAAATTGTTCAAAAGTGGCAGAAAAATATAATTTATCATGGATTAAACAAAAAAATTGAGCAGCACAGCTGTTTGCAATGTTAATAATAATAAGAAATGTTTCTTAAGCATCAAATCAGAATATTAGAATCATTTCTGAACTGTAACTCTGGAGTAATGGCTTCTGAAAATCAGCTTTGCCATCACAGGAATAAATTACATTTTAAAGTTGAATAAAATAAAATAAAAAATGTTCTTTTTAAGTAATTTAATTAAATTTAACTGTATTTTTGATCAAATAGATGCAGCCTTGGTGAACATGAGACCTCTTTCAAAAACATAAAAAAAATCTTGCTGACCCAAAACTCTTAAACAGTAGTATGAATCCGACATGCTGTCCAACCTCAGTGTTTGTTATTGGTTGCCTACTCATAGCTTCCTCTTTATCTGTACTCTGCAGTCAGGTCTGATCCGGTTCTCCGGCGAGGAACTTCTCATCACTCCACTACCGCAGCATTTGGCTTTACAACACAACTACAGTGCCCCCTCTGGACATCACCCACATGTCATCTACAAGCGATCAGCTGAGCGCAGAATGCACGCTGATAAGACTGACTGGTCCAGCAGCGTTAAATCAAACAACCCCTACGAGAGCCACCACCGTCATCACCACCACCTCCACCATCACCATGAGTACCAGCACGGAAAGCTCCAGAGACAACACTTCTGCGGACGTCGCAAGCAATGTATGTAAGGGAATTTCCTTTTAGCTATTTGTAGATGCAAAGTTCATTACACGTTATATACTTGTAAAATATGTCAGAGTGCGTATAACAGTAAAGCCCTCTGAGATATTTATACTGATTCCAAAAAGCAAAACTACTGTGTCAGTATTATCTGTTGTACTGAAAGAAATTGAATGAAAGCTTGGAAACAGCATGTGAAGTTAATGACTGTGTATTTCCTGGTCTGTCATCGCCTCTCTGGCGCTTTTATCAGGGAGCTAGCTTGGAAGAAGGAAAAACAGTTATTTGAGGCAATTTCCAGTTTTTCTCACCCTTTTTCATGAGTTTCCGTACTTTTATCTCTCCACCTCATCCTAACTACAGATACTCCCAAGCCTCCTACAGAGGATCATTTTGTCATGCCTGATGAGTTCGAGCAGCAAAGCCGGGTGAAGCGCTCAGAGATTACATCAAGCAAAGAGGGTGGCCTGAATGTGGAAACTCTGGTGGTGGCAGACAGGAAGATGCTGGAGAAACATGGCAGAGACAACGTCACTACCTATGTCCTTACTGTCATGAACATGGTGAGCAGAGCTATCAGCAGCATTGTTGAGGAGAAGACTGTTTACTTCTAACTTTACTTCTACCTATAGTAATGTGCAAAGTGTTTTTTTGCTAAACAGGTCTCCAGTCTATTCAAAGATGGAACTATTGGAAATGATATCAACATTGTTGTGGTCAGCCTCCTCCTACTTGAGAAAGATCCGGTAAGATACATACATACAAAAATATACACATTCTTTCATATATACTGTATATCTAAGGGTGTACTTACACTAGGCGTTTTGAACCGTGCTTGATCACGTTTGACTCCCAAAGCCCGGTTCCTTTGACTAGTGTGAGCGCTCCATATGGTTCATTTAACCGTCCCTGGCTCACTTGGAAGAAGTGGGCCAGAGCACAGTTCAGTTGGGCTTGGTCGCAGTATGCATGTATTGTAATCGCTAACCACGCCGGAGCACAGAACAGCTACTATTTTGTGTGTGCTACTGTCATCATTACGACCGCAAACATATTCTATTACTACTACTATACTACATTTTTCAGTTAATTAAATTAAATTAAGTATATTTGAGTTTATAACATCTGATTCTCACCTTGTTGATGAACAAGAATTGTAGTTTGCGAGTAAAGCTGCAAATTCTTCATTAACGTCAGCTGTCGCCGTAATAATTCTCTGATACATACAAGTGAAAATCGCTGCATGGCATGAATTATAAATTTGTTAGGCAGAATCTTAGTGAAAGTGTTTTTTTCCTTTACCTTGTACATGACGTAAGCGTGCTCCGGCTCGGAATGTTTAGTGCAAGTGTGAGTTTATGTTTTTAATCCAATAAAAATGACTCATAAGAGTCATTTGTTTGTGAATCAGAATATACCAGTCACTGCATGCTTTTTTATGATTCACTGCAAAGAATTGACTCTTAAGAGTCATTCATTCAGGAATCAGACTATACTGGTCGTGCTGTATGTTTTTGATTCATTAAAAACTTATAAGAGTCATTTGTTAGTGAGTCAAAATGAACTGGTTGCTGTAAATCTTTGGTTAATTTAAAATTAATTTGTTTGGGAATCAAACTATACTGGTCACACTATATGTTTTTGATTCACTAAAGAACGGCTCACAAGAGCTTTTTGCTTCATAAACTGCTGATAAATAAGCTGTATGTTGACATTTCTTGGCATTAACAGACATCAACAGACTCCAAAATATGATTAATTTTGCTTTTGCACTAAACAGTGCATGAAACACTGGTTGCACAGCTAGTTTATTCTCATTAAAGGTAAATTGAATGTCATATCTAATTTTCGAAGTTTCCCAGACATTTTGTTTTTCATTTCTTTCATACTTGAAAGATGCCTGATCATTCACTACTCTGTCTTCTTTCTCTCACCACCCCTCTGAACACTTCAACTCTCTCGGCTTCACTGATGTCAGCTGGGTCTGTCTATCAACCACCACGCAGACCAGTCACTCAACAGCTTCTGCCAGTGGCAATCAGGCCTGATAGGTAAAAATGGCAAGCGGCACGACCATGCCATACTGTTGACGGGGCTGGACATCTGCTCCTGGAAGAATGAACCGTGTGACACCTTGGGTAAGGCCCTTGATAGTCACCTTCCAATAGCAGAAGTGGGTCATGTGTTGTGATGTCAGTGGCTAATCGAGTTGCAGGAGGGTGAATTACACAATGCCAAGGTTAGAAAGAGCTTGTGGTTGGTGATGTGTGTCCTAGTCTGCCCTCAGGCAGAGAACTTCACCTGAATGAATCCAAGAAATCTCAAATCCACTTTGCAGTCAGTTGGCAGCTTCTTCAGTTTTTGCTATAGAGGCGTCAGCCAAATGTAATGAATTCAGCTCTAAAGCTCCAAACCACAAGTATGCACTTTGAATGTATGGCAAAGGGGAAAGCACGGCTTTTAAATTGCCTCTCTATGATGTGAAACTCAAACCGAAGCTGAGACCATGCAGTCAGAAACATAGCCTAAAAGTGTGTTTATGCGTAATGGGATCCTGTTTCAAGTTCTATAGGTTTGAAAACATTTTGGTGTGTTTAGTGATGCTTAAATAATGTATTACTGTTTTCATTCAGACTTGTTGGATTTTAAAGTTTCTGTAAGAAATTTGTATCAGTGTCACTCATATATCTTCCTCTTCCACCCATGTTTTCATCTTTCTGTCCTTTCTGACTTCCCGTCTGCAGGTTTTGCTCCAATAAGTGGGATGTGTAGCAAGTATCGTAGCTGCACGATTAATGAAGATACGGGGCTGGGCCTCGCTTTCACCATCGCCCACGAGTCAGGACATAAGTACGTTAACTCATGCTTTCAGGTCCCACACTATTTCAATTTGGAAAACCATATGCTGTGCAACAGGCAAACACTCTGGCTCTTCTCAGTTTGCGGAAGAAGTAGAGACGCTGCTGTGCTTTCTTGGCCAGTGCTGTGGTGTTGTTGTGTTTTTGTTTGTTTTTACTGGTTGCCATTGTGATAAGGGGAAGTTTATGTTTGAGATTTTGTTTTTATGACAGATGTATTTCGAGTCCTTCGTTCCTTTGGCACATTCTCAACATAAACTGGAACAAAATCTATCCTGGAGAACCATCAGGCTGATAACATGTTGTGGGATTTGTTATTCTCAGCAGTTCAAACATTCTGGTCAAATGAAATGGACACGTGCCTCCAATGTGCACAGTGTTTAGGGCAAAATCTTCACTGGCCAACAGTCGTTAATCACTCATTTATTGAGGAGTGGTCATTGCACATCTTGCCAACACTGCTCAGGTCTGAATTTCGTGACTATAGTGCATATGTTTATTTTGATGCATTAATACGTTTGATTCTTACAGGGTTAATAAAAGTAAACATCTAAATGTGTGAGTGTGAATCATGTGACTTATTCATTAGAGTAGAGAAATCATTGAAGGGGTTTGTGGGATGAAAGTGCTTTCGGTTATAGAGGTAATGTCCCACCTGACTCCGGGAGTGGTTTTTGTCCTGAGGTCGTACATTAATAGTCTCACTGGTTAAAACTCACAATCTCCATCTTTCCCTCTTTTGCTCCCTCCTTTTTTTGCCCTAGTTTTGGAATGATCCATGACGGAGAGGGGAATCCCTGCCGGAAGACTGAAGGAAACATAATGTCTCCCACATTGGCTGGGAATAATGGTGTTTTCTCATGGTCTGCCTGTAGTCGGCAATACTTGAACCGATTTTTAGGGTAAACTTTCACTTCACTTATCATCAAAAAGTGGTATATAAATACATTTTAGAAATGTATGTATTTTTAAATTTTTACAATTTCCTATATATTATATATTCCTATATATAATATGTGGTTTGGTTATATAATATATACATATGTTTTTACAAATATGCAATATGGTGTCCCATTCGAGATACGTATAATATTGTATGGTTTTTATGCCTGTTTCTGTTTTCATCTTTCTTTGCCTGCATTTGTGTTCACAGTACAGCTCAGGCTTCGTGTCTAGTGGACGAGCCCAAGCAGATAGGCCAGTACAAGTACCCCGAGCAGCTTCCGGGTCAGCTGTATGATGCTGATATACAGTGCAAATGGCAGTTTGGCTCGAAAGCTAAACTTTGCAGCCTGGACTTCGTAAAGGTAACCAATAGTGTGTAAAATATGCTATTAGGCTTCTCTTAATAGTTGGAGCGTTTCAGTGGATTTCAGTGGAACACAAGTTGGAAACGTCAAACAACTTGTCAAACAACAAACAACTCAAACAATGCCACAATAGAATTCACAGAGATTGAGTTCATTTAGAGTCTCAGATATTTAAATGTGCTTCAACCTGTTATGTTTGTGTGTGGAGACATCATGATCAACACAAACACACATCTGAGCTTTGGAAAGAAAACTATCTACTGAGAGGAAACCCATTGCCTCAAAATCTACTCTAAGTCTTAATTCGCAGTTTCAACAAAGATGAACAGGGCCCCCTTTGGCATCCGCTGTAGCCTTTAGCGTCTAACGCACACATTGATATGCAAATAGTTATGCTTGGGAAATGAACATTGTGAGAGTCTATCTGTGGGATTAGCTCTCATGCTATGGACTTCCTCTTTGAGAGATCCCTGTTGCCTTTGTGCGCTTCGGAGACCTTGTACGTGCTCTGAAAAGAGTCTTGAACATCGACCTTGATGGAAGGCAGCTGTACAGCTTAATTAAGAACGATTGTGCAGATAAAACCCAATGTTTTTGTTTTCTGTCCCCCCCAAGCCATCCTGTCCTTGTCACAAAGTTGTTGAGATGTAATTAGCCGTGGGAGCTAGCGGCGTTAGCTAGCCAATGATCCAGAAACCAGTGTTGCTAGCTTTTGTAAACCATGTCTCTCTCTCACTGTCTGCCAGATGCAATCGGGCCGTCGGCCAGCAGTGGCCAGTCTCCCAACCCCTCATCACCCATTATTATCGTCGTATTGTGGGAAGAAACAAAATGCAAGGATAATAGCGTTTCTTTCGGGCAGCACAGTGATTGATTTTGACACGCTTTTTTATTTGTTGGGAAAGTTGATTGGCCGTTGCTGTAGAAACAAGAGGTCGGCGTGGTGAGGTGCAAGCCAGTGAGGTTGAAGGGTTCCCAGTGGGTGTAGGCCCATTTTTGACTGTGCTCTCTGTGTGTTCGTGCCCACCAGGACATGTGTAAATCATTGTGGTGCCACAGAACAGGACACCGGTGTGAGACCAAGTTCATGCCTGCTGCCGAGGGCACCATCTGCGGACCAGACATGGTGAGTGAGTGCTTATCTGTTCACCCTGAACTCACTAAACCACCGTTAAGAAGAATTACCTCTTCTCCTAGGTTCACGAAACGGTCGTCCATAAAATGCATTGCTGTTCTGTTGTAAGTAATTTTAAAGATTCCTAAATGCATCTACTTTCGGAAGGCCAAATAAAGTGCTTTTGCTTTCGCCTAGAAACAGCGCCTTCTTTCTTTGCGTGCACATTTGGGCGGCATTATGCAAATATTTCCACATAGTGAGGTAGATATGTGGGGGCGTGTTAGAACGAGCGTTTAGGGGGGTGTGGCAGAGTCTTAACTTTGATAAAGTATATCTCTTTGGTTTTGAGACTTTAGTCTTTGCAACTTCAGGGATCTTATCTATGCACAATCAGCTTGTAACACTCCAAAGAGAAAGGAAAACTTGAAATCGCATCATATGACCCCTTTAACTAAATATTTACTATGAACTAACTATACTTTTGCCTCAATATACTCCTAATTACTGCTTATTAATACTTAATAAAGTAGTTGTTGACAATTAATTTTAAGAATTTGGTAAGAATTGGGTAGAATTAAGGATTTAGAATAAGGTCTTGCAGAATAAGGCATAAGCACATAATATGTGCGTTTTAAGTAATAATAAACAGCCAACATCCCAGTAATATTCATGCTAATAACCAACTAGTTAATAGTGAGAACTGGACACTAAAGTGTTACCAATATTCTTATTAACTCACCAAAGTATTTAAAGTGAGAAGGGTACATAGAAAGCATGCATTTTAAGGTTAGACTTTAAATTTTGATGTTAAATCCACTATTGTACTGTATTGTATATAAATGTTCTACAATGTATACACAGTATTAAGTTCAATTACATAAGAAGTAACTAATTAAATTACAGAATTTAGTGCTTATCTGTTCACCCTGAACTCACTGAACCACCGTTAAGGAGGAACATGAACTGACCAGTCTCTCTCACCATCTTTTCTTCATTTACACCTGCAGTATTGTTCTCTACTTTGTGTAAATGTTCCATAAGGACAGTTGGTGCTTTCCACTGGTTGATGGGGATGAGAGGCGTTGATGTGTGGGACTGTGTGGCTTGGCTAGGCCAAGTCCTGCTGTCCAGGTGTAACTCTGGGCCCCATCCCAATCCAGCAGGCCCAAGATCTTCACAGAAACACTTTCTCCTTTTCCTCACTTTCCCTCTCATACCGTGTCTTCTCTTTGACATGGAAAAATCAGTTTGCCTGATAGTAGTTTGCTATCCCTGTTGAAAAAAAAGGCATATGCTGGTTAGGTAGTGTTTTGAAGCATGGCAGCTGGTTTGAGCTGGTTTAAGCTGGTCCTTAGTTGGTCATGAGCTGGTTTAAGCTGGTCACATGCTGGCCCTAAGCTGGTCCAATGCAACTATAGCGCCTGCTCAGGACCAGCTCATAACCAGCTCAGGACCAGCTTAAATCAGCTCATGACCAACTAAGGATCAGCATAAACCAGCTAAAACCAGCTGCCATGCTTCAAAACATACATAACCAGCATATACTGTGTTTTCAACAGGGATCTCCTTGTCTACCACACAAACACTGATTTTGGTGGCTGTTTTAAATATAAACACATTTCTGTGAGAATAAAACAAAGAGATAATTATGACATATGAGCCAAGACTAACACAATAACTAAAACCAAACTTATTTATAAAAATGGAGATATATAAAGTTGGAGTTTGTGAAATAATATAAATTATTGCAAGAAATAGTCATAATCACAAGACTGTGAGATATAATAATAACATTGTGAGATATAAGGTTGTAATTGCAAGATATAAAGTCACAGTATGATAAAAAAAAAAAAAAAACTAATTCAGAATTGCCGATCAGTGTTCAAGATTCTTTATTTTTCTTTTTCCATAATGCAGTGGTGCCGGAGAGGACAGTGTGTCAAATTTGGTGATCATGGTCCTAGAGCAGTGCATGGCCAGTGGTCGGGATGGTCCGAGTGGTCTGACTGTTCATGCACTTGTGGTGGAGGGGTCATGTACCGAGAACGATCCTGCAACAGCCCCAGGTAACCAAAAACTCATTTTGACTCAAAGATGAAACCCATTCATGCTAAGATAATGACCAGTGTTGGGTAAGTTACTCTAAAAAAGTAATTAATTACTAGTTACTAATTACATCTTCAACAGTGTAATTAGATTACTGTACAAATTACTCTCTCCAAAAAGTATTTGATTACTTATTACTAATTACTTTCTAAATCCTATATCAAAGTAAATGAATGATACAAGGATAGACATGTAACAGTTCTTTTAATTCTTTCAAATAAATAATAGATAACAACATAAATTCTTCTGGTCACACTTTAGATTAGGGTCCAATTCTCACTATTAAAGGGGTCATATAATCAGCTTGTAACACTCCAAAGAGAAAGGAAAACTTGAAATCGCATCATATGACCCCTTTAACTAAATATTTACTATGAACTAACTATACTTTTGCCTTAATATACTCCTAATTACTGCTTATTAATACTTAATAAAGTAGTTGTTGACAATTAAGTTTAAGAATTTGGTAGGAATTGGGTAGAATTAAGGATTTAGAATAAAGTCTTGCAGAATAAGGCATAAGCACATAATATGTGCGTTTTAAGTAATAATAAACAGCCAACATCCCAGTAATATTCATGCTAATAACCAACTAGTTAATAGTGAGAACTGGACACTAAAGTGTTACCAATATTCTTATTAACTCACCAAAGTATTTAAAGTGAGAAGGGTACATAGAAAGCATGCATTTTAAGGTTAGACTTTAAATTTTGATGTTAAATCCACTATTGTACTGTATTGTATATAAATGTTCTACAATGCATACACAGTATTAAGTTCAATTACATAAGAAGTAACTAATTAAATTACAGAAAAAGAAAGAGTAATCCCTTACTTTACCTTTTTTCAAGGGAAAAGTAATTAAATTACAGTAACTAATTACTTAGTAACTATTTACACCCAACACTGATAATGACACATTATTATATATATTTTTTGAATGAACAATCTATTATGCATTTGAACAATAGGGTTAAATTCAGTTTTGTGTTTATGTTAGAGGAAATCCATGTAAATATGGCGTCTGATTGCAAAATGACCTTATTTAACACTAGAACCGCCAGAGGTCGCAGTATACCTAAAAGCGCCAGCGGGTAAATTTTACCCACGCACATGACAACTGTATTTATATGGCTAAAGAACATATGAATTCACTGTATTATGCCACTGTCTTCACAAAGAAGTGTCTAGAGTCATGAAATGATTATGTCTAGTCATCAACTATATTTTTATCCTGTTGTTTTATGTTCAAGACTTTTTAATGCAGGCTACACTAATCCATAACTGTCAGTAGCCTAAGCTAAAAAAAAAAAAAAGCCTGCACAATAACCCATGCTATTTAAATTACTAAAATAGCCTTATAGACAATAATGAGCAATAATAATTCACCACACTGCATAGGATGATGCGATGATGTGAAAAAATTCAAGCGCACAGCTTCACCTAAATATTTATTAATTTGTTTAGTTATATCATTTATAATTTGAATAAGAGAACAACACCATTAAACTTTGGGTAATCAAAAAATGGTTTTATTCATTACATCATATAGATCGGATTTTTTCTTTCTTTAGGAAACGGCCAGACTAGAATAGCAACACAGTAGCGAACAATAAACTATATTGCAAGACAAAAATTAAATAATTGAACCAAAGTTTGACCAATTAGAGTAACGTTAGGCTAAAACATCTAAATATGATGTCTGGATCACTGTCAGATGAGCCGTCAGATGCTGAGCCGACCCGGGACGCATAACTTACCATCAGACTCTCCATCACTCATGGCATTTAGTGTTTCTAATACCTACCTTCCATAAATCGCCTTTTTTTAGTCATTTTGACTTTCTTCATGAAACTTATAACCGCTAAATCAGTGAGTGAAAGGCGTTGCCTAGAAATGTACAGTGTTAAAACATAAGCGGCATGAAAATGACAGCGCGAAAATACATGCAATATATAGGTGGGTAAATTTGACCCGCTGGCGCTTATAGGTATAAATGCCCCGTTTTTTGATCTGGTTTTATCTAAATAATTTTTAACAACATTGGATTGTAAATTACATAATTTTAGTAAAAGTCAATGACTGGGAGACTTGAATGTTTTATTTGAAATCTGTTTTGTACATTTGAAAAACAGCCACGGGTAAAATTTAGCCCGTGGCGGTTCTAGTGTTAAATATTGTGCTCTGGTCTGTTGTTTATGCTAATTAAAACTATCACTGCAGTAAAAATTTAATGGCACTTTTTCACCGTAAGGCTGCCATGAATGATAGATTAGCTGTGAATGGTAGAAGCACATGTGTTTCCTGACCAAGTGACCTGCTGCGACTCCTAGATTACCCCTGAACTTTGACACACTGAGTAATCTTGGATTAAGTGTATCTTGGTATGTCATGGTTCACTCTTTTAGAGTATATCTACAGAGTACTCAGATAATTGCAGCTCATAATCATTCCAGCACTAGAAAGAATAAATAGAAAGTCATTTAAAAACAAACAAACAATAAATAAATATTTACATGTATGCATTTGCCAGATGCTTGTATCCAAAGTGACTTACATTGTATTTAAGGTATAAAGCAGGATTGTTTAAGATTTGAGTGTCTGTCAAATAGTAGATTGAGTTTTTGTGCATTTAGGTTCAGGTGCTTCCTCTCTGTATGTGGTGGCAGGTTTATTTGAGATTGGGTTTCTATAGACCACAGGTGGCTCTACATGTGGTTTGGTCAAGCTGATGGAACATGGAATTGTGCTTCATCAACATTTGGCTGTCTAGAGCATCTTAACATATTTCTGTTGGAATAGGAAATACTTATAATGCCTTAGACAGCCAGACCAACATGTCTGACATGAACAGTTCCAGTAAAGAAAGAAAGAAAGCAAGAAAGAAACTATTCAAAGTAATGTGAGTTGAAGTGGAGAATTTCCTTAATGCCCTGGAAATACCCAGGAAAATAATCATTGTGTGTTTGTTAAATCTGGTTCATATGAAACATTAAATTGTGCACATATGATCTATATTATCCATTGTGATCTCATACAAGTGATTAGGTAGATTTAAAGAGTAGGTTGATTTAAAGATCCTTTACATAGATGCACAACATTTGGACAGATGCTGCAATATGATTGCTTTTTTGGAAGCATGTTGCTAGAAAAGAGCAGGCATTTCCCACTCTATTGCAATACAATAAAGTGTTTTCAGTGTGAGTGCTTTAATGTTTTCTTTTTTTGTCCTGATTTTGTTGATATTAGTTCAATGGCAGCTGATCCACAGAGAGAGGCTTAGCTGGGCTTGCCTTTAAGGCAGAAATTCCACTATAATCAGATTTTTGGGGAGGTATTAGCCTCCATTTTCTCTATCAGTGTCACCCCCCTAATGGTTTAGTAAAAATAAGACAATATCGCTGCTTTTCACACTGCAGTCAAGTGTGCTGTGATCATTGTAACTGACTTCTCTTCTCACTGAGCTGTTGAGGTGCAAACCATGAAACCATCTGCCTTCATTCTGCATGAAAAGCAGAGTTCATGTTGACCAGAACATTTTATCTATATCATTTCACTCGGAAATGTTTCAAAAGAGGCATTCTGATGGACAATCTTCCCTTGCGGCTCTCAGACAGCACCTGCAGCGGAATAGGTGTTGGTATGTCTTCTGTTTGTGGCGGTGAGGTTCAAGGGGAATCCCCATACTCATCACTTCAGTATAAGGTCCTCAGGAGACAGCTGTTGAAGCCAGAGGCATGAGATGTCATCTCGCTCAAACAACATTTATCAATAAATATGATCTGATAAATGTACTCCCATGACTTTATCCATACTCAGCTGCCAGATTTACAGGTTCATGTGTCTTTGATATGAGTGTTTGAGAAATACATCTCTTGGCAACAGCATAGTGGAGATGGTTGTTGATGGGATTGCCTTTTTGAAGTTTGTTTACCATACAGGATACAGTGTTAACTAACAGAGTATGGGTAGCATTAATACACCATTACCAGAGGGCAAATTTGAAAGAGTAGGATGCATGTACAATCACCCTCAGGTCTTCGGAAAGCCCCTAACAAACAAACGATTAAATTTCATTGCATCATTGTTTGGTATTGTTTATTTATACGTAGAGGGCTCTGTTTTAATGACTTGACTTTAAAGTGGATATCTAATGGCTAACAGTGTGGGCATAATGAGAGTTTGATTAAAAAAGGAGGTCTTAGAGATGGGAGATGTATTGAGAGAGTGGGGTAGAGAAGGATGTGGGTCTATGTGGGGAGTTTTGGAGAGATTCAGGCAAGCAGACAGACAGGGTGACCCTGTTTCCTCTGAAGTTTGCACTTATACTGCTGTTCTGAGATTTAACATTCCCCAGTTGGAAAATTATGCTACAAAGACTTGTAGACAAAGAGAAAAAGAGAATAATGTTCCCTTTTGCCAACAACTCTTGTGTGAAGTTGAGCATGTAGCACAAAATTGATTTGGGCACAGTTATTTCAACGTCTAATCAGAAAACATACACTTGCCCCCCTGCCTCTTCTCTTTCAATCTCTCTCTGTGCTCTGTGTGTTTTTGTAACTGCTCTACCATATGGGCCCATAGTACACTGTCGCTAATGCTCTAATAGGATCAGCCTGAAAACCTGCTCCTAAAACAAAAGCAGACGTGCACAAACAGCCGCCTGACAGCACCGTTAGACTATCATTGATCTCACTGGCTTCTCCTGAAAAGTGAGGCATAATTTCCCAATGCAACATGTTTATACACACCCATAGATCAAGGGTTTCCAGACTTTTTCACGCCAGGATGCACCTAGAAAAGTGTAATCTTTTATTTATTGAAGTTTTTATTAAAGTAATTTAATATATAGTATTTGCCTATATATTTTTGTAGGGCAACCTGGATGTTAACATCACTCTGCTTCCCTCAATAAAAACCAATAGGATTTCCCATTGGCCTTTGGATTATTGCAAAAAAATAAGCTTTGTGACCTACAAAAGTTTATGATTCATATATGTTTTGGTGAAGATAATCTTCACAAATTAACACAACTTTTATTAACTAAAATAGGCTATAAACAAACTACTCCACTGTTACACAACTTCAAAGTCACCCGCAAGTTTCCAACCAATCTTTTGATCTCTACTTAAAATTTACAAGCTGGAATGTTTTAGTTAGCATAGTCTGCAAGGAGCCGAGTATAAACACAATGATGCTGTAAAAGCACACTAGTGAGTAGATGAGTTTAACTATTCTGTGTGACAACCTATGTAGTCCTATTTAGCCACTTGTTAGCTACAACCTTATTTGAAGACACGTAAAAGCTTAAACAACAAGTGGGGTATTACTGAGGTATTTTTGTAAAATAAAACGTAAAAATGTGCTGAAAAAAAAAAGTAAAATGTGCTTAACTTGTGTTAACCACTGACCTTATTTCACACATTTAATCAAAAACACATTAACTGACAGGATGGAAACAGAAGTTAAAAAATGCTGGAATTTACTGTTCAGTAAGCGAGTCATATGTCGATCCAGTAGGCGCTCTAATGGATTTGATGAGTTAAATCGATAGAATCAATTAATCAAATTGATTAAAAATCGAGTTCTTTGTAAACAGTTCATTAAAATAATCAGCTCTTTAGAGCCATTTGTTCAGTAGGTCGCACTGTATGTTTGCATTCATCTGAATGCACCACCATTCTATGACCCACTTATTTCTGCAGGGTCAAGACCCACAGTTTGAAAACGGCTGTTCTAGACAATGCAACTATGTTGTCAGTTTTCAGAAGAAAAGTCATTCATTTATCTCACTGTATGTGTTTTCCCCATGCTTTCTCTGTTTGATCACTCTACATGAATAAAGATGATGAGTGATTTTTCAAAGTGCGTGGAAGGCTCATCTGTCCTCTCTGTGAGCGGTTTCCTAACCTCAAGTGTGAACATGCAATAAAAAGCTAAAGGCCAGAGACTAAAGGAACATGCACAGGCACACACACACACATTGATAGGCCCATGGCGTAGTCCTTTGCTTTGAGGTTAGGCTACAAGAGGGTACCCAAGAGTCTTCCACTTTAAAACATGCAGCCATGCCGCAAGCATGCCTCCGATCTCACAGCCTCAGTTACAGGAGTTGCTGGACCGCTTTTCCCTCAGGAAAGATGGTGACTGTCTGCTTCATGTGGCACTTGGAGGCATTCCTGTGGCATTGGGAGGAGGCTACCGCTCTTCTCCAGCCTCAAGCTGCCTCAGCAAGACAGGGTGACGGTTTGAACACATTATCTAGAGCCTCAGGGCTGACCTATTATGATATCCAGCCTTGCTTGCAAGAGTTGGCCATTACAGGTTTTAGAGAAGTAAAGATGAATGAATGAATTTCCATGTTGTTCCAAGCTGGTTTATGTTAGTTTGATGGTTGTTGTTTTTTTGCTAGATAAGCCAGAAAATCACTGTTTATCAAGGTCAGCTTGTTGGTGGACTAGTTAAGAAAACATGGTATTGGCCATCCAAAACAAACCATTTTTCAACCAGGTTTCCTATTTGGCTGCAAGCAAGTCGACTCAGATAACACAGTGTGTAAAGTACATCAGCGCAGCTGCGTGTTGTCTTTTTCTCATTGAAGATTATTATTAAAAAATCACAGCTTTTAAAAACACAGGCGAGTCCAAGTCATGAATGGAATTGAATCCCAAACACTTTATATCTTTTACAGCTGTCAGTTGGGATGTGATTCAGTCAGACACATCACCGATAACACACAAAGACATTCCCTTAGTGCAGATGCTAATGCACATCATATGAAATGCATCTCACCAGCCCCTCTTCCAAAAAATACCGAATGGCTGTCATTCCTCTCGCGTGTTGAATGCTTGCTGATGCACATCTGTTTCTTCTCTTCTTCTCGCTCTCTCTCCTTGCTTCCATGTTCGCTTGTGCTAATTGCTGGTTGTTTCACGCAAGCCCACAGCACAACGGCAAGTTCTGCCAAGGCCCCAGTCGACTGCACCAGCTGTGTAACACCAAGCCATGCCAGCCCAATAGAGTGGACTTCAGAGCTCAGCAGTGCACCGAGTACAACAGCAAACCCTTCAGGGGATGGTATTACAAATGGAAGCCATACACCAAAGTGGAAGGTATGGGAGATATTTGGGCCTTAATGCATTCATTACGAACAAAAGCAAATGTCTCATTAACAGCTGGAAGAGAGCACAGTAAACCTCTGCTGTGGGTTCAAAATCCCCATGCGTCTTCATTTACTGGACGAGCGAGACTCACACTTTTTTTTCAAGAAGGAATGTATTATAAATGTATGAGTTCAGTCAGCTTTTATAAGATTTTTTAAACGTTTTTAAAAAAAGTCTCTTTCGCATTTATTTAATCAAAAATACAGTAAAACAGTAATATTGTTAAATATTACATTTAAAATAGCAGCTATTACTCCAGTCTTACGTGTCACACAATTCTTCAGAAATCATTCTAATATGCTGATTTGGTGATCAAGAAACATTTCGTATTATTATCATCCATGTTGAAAACAGTTGCTTAATATTTCTGTGGAAACGGTGACACTTTTTTGTTCACGATTCCTTTATGAATAGAACAGCATTTATTTGAAATAGTTTAACAGTGTAAAATTGTGTAACACCAGTGTAAAACCTGTATTGTCACTTTTTCATCAATTTAATGCATCATTGTTGAAAAAAAAAAAAACCTTACTGACCCTCAACATTTTAAACGGTAGCCTACATATAACCTTGTCTGACATAACTAACAACAAACCTCTAAAACACATTCATCTCAGACTTTACCTGCTTAGTTTTTAATACCCTCTGTTATCTGAGTCAGCAAGAACAGCTGTGTTTTTAAATAGTAATCATTCTCGTTAGTTTCTGACAGTATGTATTGAGATTGTTACATAGGACAAATGTATTCCACCCAAGCAATTCATCTCCCCTGATGTGTGTTGTCTAAGCTGTGCATGGATTTGGACTGGAAACATGTATCCACTCGTTCTGTGAGTGCAGTGCACTGATCAATCCTGTAGGCATGTTTGGACCTGAATAGGACCCTGTTTGTGTATTTATGCTTTCTTATGTGTTAGCGGACTGCGAGTGAAAAAGGGAAAGGATAGCAACAATTGGATACTGTCCTGTCAGATTTTTGAAAACTAATGAGAAAGACCAGTGCGGTGAATGGAGCTCCATGCTCTAATCAGTAGGTTGTGTGTTTCAGTGGCTAGTACAGGTGTTAGTGTAGTGTAGTGGTTCTACTCCCTGCACTTGCTCCGAGTGCGATTCGAACCAGCGTTTCTGGTATGGGAGGTGGATGCGCTAACAAAGTCGATAAAGACTGCAGTCTCTAGCGTCAGTCGCTAACGCGCCTCTTGAGATCAGGGGAGTGAGGTTTTACCTGCACAGCTCTTATTAGCTGGCCTCCATTACATTAGGAATCACTTACCCCAGTTTGACTGGGATTTTGGAGTCAGATCAAATTAGATTAACCACTGACGTGTCCTGTTGTTAAGTTTCGCTTGCCCTCCTCTCTACTTTTAAGGGCATTATTCAGCTTTTATTGTTAGGTTTACTGTTTAGTTTTCTATTCAGCTAGACCTGTAAGTCTGTAACAATATCATTTGTTTTCCTTTGAAGTAAAAGCACAATAATTATGAGCTAATATGTTTCTAAAAAAAGAGAGAAAAAAATCTAACAGTTCATACTGAGCTGTTGTATTGAATGAGCCTGTATTTGTGTGAGGATGCAGATGCAGCTCTGATAGGTCCATATTTTTCTCTCGGTAGGAGAGTTGGATATAGTCGCCTCTCTTGCATTCCAGCTTTATGGGCCCATTTGTAACAGAGTTTTAAATTTTAGTGCAACATGTGTTCTGTGGCTATGTTCTCTACAGCATGGTGAGCCTTCCAGTTGCTTCGCAGCCAACCACACACAGCTTAAACATACCCAGTAATTAGCACTAGACAGTAGTACACATCTGCATTGTGTCTGCTAAAAATAAATGATGCATGACGGACAGCAAAGTTCTGTCTTTTATGTATTAATGACTCTCAGACGAAAGGTTAAAATAGTCACATTTATTTTAATTTAATAAAAATGTAATTTAATTTAATTTAATTTAATTTAATTTAATTTAATTTAATTTTATTTCATTTTCAAACTGAAATGTAATGTATGGGAATTATTGATAATGTGGGTTTGTGAGTTTTTGCATGCTTTTCAAAGAATATTTTTCCATTTTACATGAAAGTCCACCTGCATTTTGTCTGAAAAATGTTCACAGGATTATCGCTCCATATGTCCTCATGCGTGAGACTTCATAGCAGCATGCTGAGGGTGCCAGTACACAGCCTCAGAAGATCTAACATAAAATCACTCTGAAGCTATAAGATCTAATGACCCCATTCATCTCCTATCTAGAAGAGGACATCTGTAAGCTGTACTGCATTGCTGAGGACTTTGATTTTTTCTTCGCTATGTCCAGCAAAGTCAAAGATGGGACATCTTGCTCTGACTACAAAGGAGGCGTGTGCATTGATGGGATATGCAAGGTACGTGAGTGGGTGATGATTCTGAGATGGTCATATTTCGGGCATCAATTGATTGACATTAGCATTTTGTTATATTCATCAGGCCTAGTGGGCTAAACTGTGTGTGTCAGTTAAAAAATGTTGTTTTAATAACTTTTCCTATGTAGCCGGTGGGCTGTGACCAGGTGTTGGGATCAAAGGCCGCTTTGGATGCCTGTGGAGTGTGTAAAGGAGACAACTCCACCTGCAAGTTCTACAGTGGCCAGTACACCCTCCAGCACAGAGCCAACGGTAAGGCTCTCGCAGAGCATGTTTCTTTCATACCTTCTGATCTTCTCTGACAAATCAATATTTTGAAGAGAATAGCAGGCTTCAAGAGAAAGAAACAAGGAGTAAATCATTATAAAATAATAGAAAAATGCCTAAAGCAGTGGTTCTCACCTGGGGTGGTTCTTATTTTTATCAGTGTTGAAAACAGTTGTGCTGCTTAATATTTGAATGAAAACCATGGCACATTTTTCTTTGATCAAATAGAAATCTTGTAACATAAATGCCTTTAAGGTCACTTTTGATCAATTTAATGCATCCTTTCTCAATTAAGAATTATTAATAAAATCTTACTGACCCCAAAGTTTTGAATCTTTCACAAATTGGTACTGTATATAGGTGTATTTGATTCTTCTGATTTGACTAAAAAAGTTTGAGAACTAGTACTCTTTAATAAAATATAATAAGATATCATAGAGACTGAAAGAAACGAAAAAAGAAAAAAAAAATCTGTCACTTTAGAATTCCTCTCCTCAGACTTAACAGAAAACGGCAATGTATTTTTTAGAGCACTTACACAGCAGGAGCTCTTGCAAGTCTGGCACCTCATAGCTCTCCTCCGACTGAAGGAGGTGATAATGCATCAGCTCAAAGATGCCTGTTCCCTCTGGCCTTTAAAAATGCAGAAACTGCAAAAGTGAGCAGACATGGCAAACCTATTTTCCCTTTTTTTCCATCTTTTCAGAATATTACCCTGTTGTGATGGTTCCCGCTGGAGCGAGGAACATCAGGGTGCAGGAGATGGAGATCTCCACCAGCTACCTGGCTGTCCGCAGTCTGAAACGTGGTACCTACTACCTGACGGGGGACTGGACGGTGGACTGGCCTGGCAGGTTCCAGTTCGCAGGCACTACGTTCAACTATCAACGCTCTTTCAACCGGCCTGAGACCTTGTACGCTGCAGGCCCCACTAATGAGACCCTGCTCTTTGAAGTGAGTCAACCCCATCCCCGTCCGTCCTGACACCTGTTAGCGAATTAGCAATGACAGGATCTTGGCATGAGTGCCGTGGCCATTCGGTCAGATGAAAACAAGGCTGAGGGACAGTGGGTGAGTGAGAGAGATGAGAAACAAATGAGGGAAAGATAGAGAGAGAGACAGAAGAGAAGGCACACAAATGAGTCGAACGGGCAGACTAACGCCTCTGTTTGGGATTAATTGCAGGCCAGATCCGACGTGGTCATTGTGACTTTCATCTTCAGTATGTAGAGATTCGACATCAAACGGTGCGACAATGTGACTGGCACTAAGCTTTGAACTCGCTGCACTGTGTGCTCTTGCTAATGGGCAGCGCAGGGCACCGCTTACATGAAGGGTGATTGGTATGGGTTCAAATGACCTTTGAGGTTAAGTCGTAGTAAGGACACTTCATATATCTGCACAAATCTGAAGTGTGGATAAGAGAGCTCTTTCGATTTCAGAAGAATCATTTACGCCTTTTATCGACATTGTGTTCGACTGTAGTAGTTCTGTGGGCTGATATGTAATGTTACGTGTGCACTTGGAAAGAGAATTTGCTTATCCACGATGCAGCATTATTTATATATTACGGTAAGATTTGTTATCTCCAGGCCAAGAAAAAAATGTCTCGGCAAAACAGCTTTGCATATGTTGAGGTACTGGAAAATTAATAAGATCTTGTGATAACGTCAAGCTTTTGAAATTTTTTAGATTTGACCTCAAGCTTAAGAGAAATTAAGTCAAGATTTCAAGTAGATGTTATGTCTATGTTATGTCAAAATCTAGAAAACATTAAGTTAAAATGAAGAATAATGCTGTAACACCAAATAATTCAATATTTATGCTGCCAAAATCTTTATTGTAACCAATCAAAATGTCATTGTAAAGACTGAATGAATCATTTGAACTCTAAAAGATTATGTTAGAGATATATACCATCATGTTAAAAGATTAACATGATGGTATATTTGAATGAATTTACTTACCAGTTAAAACAAATGCAGATCCATTATATCATACTTCCGATTTTCTTTTGTTACCAACACCTCAAGCTGTTAAAAATCCATTTGGCCTTGATACTATTAGGTGTTGTGTAAGTTGTACAAAAGTTAGGAATGCTTCATTTAATACTCTTTCATTTTGATCTTATTTACTGTCCTTTGATCTGCACCGCACTCAACCTGTGCTATGCCCTCTCTTCATTACGATTTCCCCAGGGTGGGCGGTGGCAGCAGAGGTCTGATTTGCAGATGAGTTGGCATTAATCTCTCTAAGTATGCTCTGTAATTTCAAAAAGAAGAGGAGGGTAGAGAGAGATTAAAAGATTAAGATTTCTGCAATTGAACTCAATAGATCAGAGAGGCTTGGGGTCACGATTCGAGGGAAGCAGCTGGTCAATCTCTCTCAGTTTAACATGCTATGGAAAATGGATAAGTATCAGCTTCAAGACCCTTATTGAATGCTTAGGAAAATGCATTTCGAGAAATGTAAATGTAAATGTTGACACGGTTCCAGAGCTTGTAATCAGCTCAGCAATGTGGATTGAGAGGCACTAGACGAGACATAACAGAGCAGTTCCCTTCAAACTTGACGTGCTTCTGATTTAAACACTTTTTAGGATTGAAGTATTGACATTCTTGTGGCATGTCTTAAGAGGGTCATACCAGTCCAGAGTGATTCATTTAGATGTGGTATCTGTGCTCACATTCATCAGTCTTTCATTCATGCGTTTCGTCTTGACCGTAGGAACTGCTACGCTTCTAGCCAGGGCACAGTTGGATTTTTGTGTTGTAACCCTATACTGAGAGTGCTTGATAATGAACCTGTCCTAGTAGTCCTGTTCAACAGTTTAGTAATTACCTCAGATTTTCCATCATTATTCAGAATGAGTAGGGTGAAAGATAAAGAGGGGGCTTCTAGAGCGAGAAGCTCATGAGATTGAGCTTTCATTGCAACATAAGACAAAAGAAGATGCAAGGAAGCCTCAGAAAACTTGATTTTACAGTATTTGGATGGGGAAGGATGTTTTGCATGTTGAATCGATGTTCAAAATTGTGATTCTTGTTACATATGTTAAGAGTGAAACTCTAGACTTCCTATATCAGAGCACAGACATGGTGCAATGGACTCTTGCGGGTCTTGACACTGGATCAGAAGAGGCAGAGTTTCCCCATGTGTTGTATCCATAGTCAGATGGCTAGCCCGATCACAGATGGATCAGAGACCTCCTCCTGAGCCTGATTCTGGAATAGCTGCTCTGTGTTGAGTGTCAACTGTAAATCTGGACCAGCTTTGAACAGGCTAGCGTGCAGGGTCTCATGGACTGCTTCCAGGGCAATAGATTCAGCCTGGATGCTCAGTGGGAGAGTGAGCCAAGATACAGTATGTTAAAAAGTTTGCTAACTTGCCACTGTGTTTCAATCAGTGGTGGACGAAGTACACAAATCAAGTGCTTTGGAATGTAGTGAAGTAAAAGTAAAAGTTACTCAAAATAAAACTACTCCAGTAAAGTACAGATACTTGAAAAATGTACTTAAGTACAGTAACGAAATAAAACTACTCCGTTACTGTCCACCACTGGTTTCAATATACTTGTTTTACTTCCTCTGGAAATCCTCCATCCTTCAAATACCGCTTTTGTTTGATTCGCACAATGTCTTCTGCTGTTCTGTTGATAGATTCTTTCCTCCTGTTGATAGATTCTTTCCTCCTCTACAGGTCTGAACTTACTTGAGTTACGTTCAGTTAGTGGTTCAGTCTCAACATTCACCTGCATCTCATTGAACATGCAACATGAATTCACATGAATTCATACCTCTTCATCTGCAATGTCAAACATAGTCATGACACTAAACTGAACCCAAGTTTGGCTAGTAAAGATTTTGGATGGTTTTAGATAACCCAATAATCTGACAGAGCATTGAGACTCTTTTATTGTGTTTAGTGCGACTGACTTAAGGATAATCTTCCCACATCAGCAGCAGCCCGCCATACACTTCCTGTTCAAAACATTAACTGAGGGTAAATCCATAGTAATTAGAGGATGGGTGGCATCTGCCTAATCCACTGCTTAAGTTCATACTCTTACTTAAGAGAAATTTGGGCTGCCTTGCAATTACTGTTGGCTTGTGTAAACATTGCTGCAATTGTTCCGTGACCCTTAAGATTCGATCCTTGTTTAGCTGCTTTGTTTATACTTTCTACATATAGTTTGGTGGTTTACCAGTTCCAGTGAATTTGGTGTCATTGCATTTTTATTACAAATAGTCTGAGGAAAATCCCCATGTGGCAAAGTCTGAGTAAAAACAAAGGTCCTCTTCTTGTCGGAGAACATTTCCACTCCATTAGAGTTATCCTCAGGCTGTCCTCAGTGGCCTTGGGCACGGATTTAGTGAGGAACTGGCTGAACTTCCTCTGTGGTCTAGTCTCACATGAATGACTACAATATCTTCTCCAGGAACAGCTTCAAAACTGTAGCATACAGGCCTACTGAAACATAAGCATCAATGTAAAACTTGCTGGGAAATAAAGTCTCACAGTATACCACTATATGAAAATATTCAGATTCACCCAACCCACAATTTGGTCCACTTGTGCCGTTTTCCAAACTGACAAGCTTCAGTTCAAACACATAGACAGTCTAATTCAAGCATCTCTTTAAATCAGGGTCACTAGGAGCACTGTGGTGTCATCTCTCAGTCCCAATGAAGCTACAGCCACAAAACAGCAGCAGACACTTTGGCACCTTCTGCCTTGCTGGAATATGAAGTCATGAAGTCGTGGCCTAATGGTTAGAGAGTCGGACTCGTATCCCAACGGTTGCGGGTTCGAGTCTCGTAACGGCAGGGATTGTAGGTGGGGGGAGTGAATGTACAGCGCTCCCTCCCACCTTCAATACCACGACTGAGGTGCCCTTGAGCAAGGCACCGAACCCCCAATTGCTCCCCGGGCGCCGCAGCAAAAATGGCTGCCCACTGCTCCGGGTGTGTGTTCACGGTGTGTGTGTGTTCACTGCTGTGTGTGTGCACTTTGGATGGGATAAATGCAGAGCACTAATTCTGAGTATGGGTCACCATACTTGGCCACATGTCACTTCACATGAACGTTAACAGTTCAATTTCAGTCAGACTAAAGCAATAATTTTAGTCTTTAAACAACTGAAAGCATGTATGTATCTTAATCGGACTACAAGTGGTCTCATTATTGTGCGCACTGAAACACAGAGGTGTTCAAAAGTATGGGGTTAGTAATTTTTTTTATGTTTTTGAAAAGAAGTTTAGTATGTTCACCGTGGCTGCTTTTATTTGATCAAAAATAAAAGTAAAAATAGTAATACTGTGAAATATTATCACGATTTAAAGTCTCCATTTTATATTTGTATATATTTTAAAATAGAAGTTATTCCTGTGATGGCAAACATGAATTTTCAGCATCATTATTCCAGGCTTCAGTGTCACATGATCCTTCAGAAATTGTTCTAATATGCTGATTTGGTGCTCAAAAATATTTCTTATGTGTAATTATTATCAATGTTGAAAATGCATCATGGACTGTTTGTGTTTTTAAGCATTCTTTTATGTTTGAAGAATGGCCTTTATTTGAAATAGAAATCTTTTGCAAAATTCGAAATGACTTTTATTTTTTTATGAATTTAATGCATCATTGCAGAATCCAAATATTACATTTCTATCAGTTTCTCCAAACTTTTGAACAGTAGTGTATACTTGGATAACCAGAAACCTGTTGCTTGATTGATTTTACTAACCCATGACCATCTCTTCTCCTCCACAGATTCTTCTTCAGGGTAAAAATCCTGGCATATCATGGGAATACACTCTACCACATCCGGAGAAGAAGCACAACTACACCTGGTACGTGGTGCGCTCTGACTGCTCGGCGCCTTGTGCTGGGGGTGAGTGGATGCTGTATATACGGTAAAGTTTACTTTGTTGACTCAAGTGTGAGAGAGCAGAGTTTCTGTGGTTGTGTGTTGGTGAGGAAGGAAGTGTATGTGTGTATTTGTCCAGGTCCATCAAATGCACCTTTGTGAGCAGAGTAAAAAACAAAACAAAAGTGCGCCCCTCCTTCCTCCAGACCTCCGAATCACATTGGCTCATCTCTGTGGTAGTGGCTCCTCCATTCACAGTCAGTTGTCTGAGTGTTGGTGGCAGACAGACAGCACTATGACATGCCCAGAGCACAGATCTCTATCTGCTCTCTCACACGGTTTCATTCATGCTTTTCTTTAGAGCAGACCTCTGGGCCGCCCCTCCTGGCCTCTCACACTGACAGAGGCCCGGCTTTGTTTGCCACAACAGAAGCCACGCTACAGTACTGCCATTCATCCTGAGCTCCCATAATCCCCAGAAAGACTATTCACGGACAGTGTGCTCCAAGCTTTCCTTTTCAAAAATTGCTCAGAGGATGCATTAGTTTATCGCATGATAAAGACATATTTTAGGCCGGGTCAGAGGGATGGATCTCTGTAAAATGTCCAAAGAAAGTAGTTGTGTTTATGATCACTATCTCTCTGTATCTCTTTCTAACTCTCTCTCAGGTCGGGTCTCGACGAAAGCCATTTGTTTGCAGCATCTGAACACGCAGGTCAACTCTTCACTCTGCAACCCTGAGACCAGACCTGTGGTGGGCTCTCACCTGTGCAACACACAGCCCTGCCCTGCCTAGTAAGTGTCTGTGTGTGTGTGTGTGTGTGTGTGTGTGTGTGTGTGTGTGTGTGTTTGTGGGTGTGTTATTCTGTCTGACTTCCTTGTCCCATGCTTGCTACTTTCCAGCAGGGTTGGATACAACTGAGATTTTAAGATTTAGCTCCCTTTCAGTTCTTGAGTTTGAGTTTGAATTTGAATTGCTCACACCCAACACAGCTAGTTGAACTGGAAGTTAAATTTGAAAGAAATAATATATAAAACCTGCACACAAGACCTTTTAAATTTCTTTAAAGTTGTGATATAATGGAAGTAGCAACAGATTGTGCTTTTTTCCCCAGATTGTTACATACATCCTTGTGAAACAGAAAAAGAAAAGACATTTTTTGTCAGTTGGTTGTTGATTGGATGGAGGCAGATCTGAATGCAAGCTTGCAGTTGATTGTAAAAGGGTGGGTTTAAGTGGATTCAATGGTTGGAGAAGTCGGTCTTTCACTCAGATGCCACAATATGGAAAAAAAATTCTACTTCTGTCATTTTCACTGTACGATCAAGTTATGACATTGACATTAAAAATCATGATGTCAAAAAAGCAAACATATGTATGAATGAATCATGCACAGTAAGAACAATAGCATGCATTTAGAAAAGAAAATGTGGATTTTAATTTCATGCTGATCTCAAATACGTTTTTAGTTCTAATTGTATCTTCACAAACCTTCCTTTTCTAGCTAAAATGTATTTAAATTGCATTTATTTTAATGAAATTTCCTTAATTTGAAACCAGTTTGCCACTTCCATTCAAATTCAAAAATGTTAATGAAAATGGTGTACAACCTTGCTTTCCAGCACTATTGGTGAGCACGGTGCCCTGGTATGTCTGTGTGAAATCAGCTGTGGTGGCTTCAGCATGAGCAGAACCCAGCTTAAAGCTCTGAGAAGTCACTTTCTTCCTTGGGTTCTTTTCTCTGATTCACTCCTTAAAGAAAACAAGATTAACATAGCCTCCAGACAGGGACTGACTGTACCCTTACTGCCCAAACTCCAGCTCCAAGCCACAGCCTGCCACACAAGCACCTCTTAAATTATACAAACTCAAACCCACATACATACATAAACACACGAGCTTTCACAATAAGGCATATATATACACACAAATACTATTCTCTCATTCTGTCTTGTCTTTTTGTTGACTGCAGTGAATTACTACTCAAATATTCCAAGAACTGAAGCCATATTTATCAAAGACTCCCACTATATTTACAATGAGAGTTATGAGTGAAAAGGATAAGTGTTATATTTGGATTGAGGAAGATAAATGGGAAAAAGACACCTTACAGAAGTTGATGAATGAATTGGATAGAGGCATTGTACTGTGTGAAAAACATGCTTAATGATCCTTTAGCATGGAAAAAAAGAGAACGAAAAGCAGAGACCGTCTCTCTAGGGACCCTGGGAAAAACATTCTCAGTCTAGGTGTCAGAAACCTCCACTGGGCTCTGGAGACTATAAAAGGAACTGCTCAAAAACCTTTCTCTGGCTGTCTCAAAGCTGAAGTCAATCTGCCAGTCCATCTTCCTTTTGAGAGTCCTACTGCCATTCTTACAAGAGCAACACTCAGCTCGACTTGATTTACTGATCTCTTGCCTTACAGAGGCATCTACATACCCAGCATCCCTCACTTGCCAGGGTGAAAGGCATTGACACACCATTCTGGAACTCAGATAACAAATCACCCCTCCTGGCTTTCCTCCCTCCGTCCTTCTCGCTCTCTCTTTCTCTCTGACCTTGCATCGTGTGAAATGTTGGCTGCGACCGATTATAATGTGCGGGCTATGGCGAGGCGATGCTAAAAGGGGAAATCAAGACCATATGATTGCTTCCTTACAGCAACAAGCTCTACACTTGCCAGGGTGAAAGGCATTGACACACCATTCTGGAACTCAGATAACAAATCACCCCTCCTGGCTTTCCTCCCTCCGTCCTTCTCGCCCTCTCTTTCTCTCTGACCTTGCATCGTGTGAAATGTTGGCTGCGACCGATTATAATGTGTGGGCTATGGCGAGGCGATGCTAAAAGGGGAAATCAAGACCATATGATTGTTTCCTTACAGCAACAAGCTCTAACCGATTTGGCTTGTCCCATTCAAAGCCTGACAAATAGTCCAATAACAGTGTAATTGAAAACAAAGGCAGGGTTGACGGGAGAGCAGCGTGTCTGCGGTGGTGCTGGATATGTTGAGACAGACTGCACAGGTTCCCATCACTCACCACCAGTGTCTGCCTGTAACCCTATGACACTTTAACTTGGTGAGAGGCTTTGATTACCAGTAGAGATTACTAGTGATCCCAGACTCTTTCTGTTGGCGTCACAAGTCAATGACATCACCATCCTGTGGGTCACACGATGAGTTAGTTACCCACCGTACCTACATTGGAAAAGCTATTAAAGGGATAGTTCCTCCGAAAATGAAACTTCAGTCATCATTTACTCTCCCTCATGTCATTTTTTAAAACCTGTATGACATCTGCAGAACACAAAAGTGTTTCAGGCTTTCATAACAAAAAATATCTTTATATAATTTTGTTTTGTGTTCTGCAGAAGAAAGAAAGTCATAGAGGTTTGGAACGACATGAAGGTGGGCAAATGATGACAGTGCTTTTCAAGTGCTTTTCAAATGTAGGTACGACGGGGTATTATGTTAAATCTTAAATGGCCTTGTGCTTTTTTTCTCTCTTCATGAGATTCCCACCATTCAAAATGGATTTTCTTCTCTTGGTGTAGGTCATACTGTAAGTGTGTTTATTGTTGTTACAGACAGGTCCTAAATCCCACAGTTACTAATGACCTCCCCCACTGTATGCAGAGCCGAGTCTGTTTCTCTCCATACTGAATGACATCACGGCCTTAAGATATCGACTTCAGACTCCCGGAACATTATTTGTTTGAGGCATTATCTGCTTTGATTTATGACTGCTGAAAAGAGGAAAACTAAAAAAAAAAGGGTGCAGGAAAGGGAAAATAAATAGACCTTTGGAAACACTTCCAGAAAAAGTATGGGCATGCATTCAAAACAGGAGAGGAAGACAGAAGCTTCTGCTTATCTTTCCAGCAAATATCTTCAGTGTTGACATGTTTTATTATGGAGCAAGAGAGGCCGCATCCCTGTGGGAATTGAGCGCGTCTAGCTGGCCAGGAATCGAGTGCTATTCTCTGGACTATGGCCTACAGGACTCAGTCTGACGATGTGCTCCCGGCTGCAAACGCTGCCCTGCTGCTTCTGTGAAGCGTGGAGCGCGGTGACTTCAAACACGGGCTGGGCCCAGAAGCGACCAGCTTGATTTGTTCCATAAAATGTCACGAGAAGATAAATGCACATGCCTTAAAGACTTTTGCAGTGCCCTCTGAATATTCCTTCTTTTCTTTTGTTTTTTTAGTTGTGTTGCATGATTGCATGTTTGCTTTTCTGTTCAACCACCGTTCTTCAAGCGCAGACAGATTTAGGAATTTCTTACCAGACTTTTGTAGGATTGACCACCTTTTTGTAAAGAATTTTTTAAAATTTATTTAGTAAGTATGCATTATTGCAATAATAATTTATTGCATTAATAATTGCATTAATATGCATCAATAATTAAAAAAGCAACAGCTGTTTTCAACATTGATAATAATAAGAAATATGTCTTGTGCACCAAATCAGCATTTTAGAATGATTTTTGAAGGAAATTGAAAAGCTTTGCCATCACAGGATTTTAAAGTATAGTAAAATAGAAAACAGTTATTCAAAATTGTAATAATATTTCACAATATTACTGTTTTACTGTATTTTTAATAAAAATTATTCAAAAACATTAAAAAATCTTACTCACCCCGAACTTTTGAACTGTTGTGTACATGATCACCCAAAAGACCAAAGACTATTGTAATGAATAACAATAAAAACAATTTCCAATATCATACAACCCAACATAGCTAAAGTGGTTAGAGCACATGCTTTGGTCTGTTTAAAGTAATATTTTTAGCAAAAATGCAAAATGTCACGCGGGTTCAGGAAAATACATGGTTCTCTTAGTGCTCTTAAACTTACAAATGCTTCCAAACCCAAACCATTCCCCAGAGAGTGCTAAAAATTCAGCCTTTGTCCCACTGTACGACCAATGGTAGCTTACATTTCATTGAGTGATTCGGAATGAGTATCTATTATGGGTGCATCATTCTGGGTAGACATGGAGAAAATGCCAGCAAAATCAGACCGTATGCGGCAAAGCAGTCTGCAATATTGTCCCCAAAGATATGTCTTCTTTAATTGTATGGCTTGAAATATGTGAGTTATTGAAAGATTCCAGAAATACAAAATTAAAACAAGCGCCAGCAGTGGTTTGCAGTGAGGCACGGCAAGTCAGCTCTTTGACCAATGACACATTGTCATTTATGTGGCGAGGAGAGGACGAGGGGGAGTGAAAAGGCATATTGTGCTGTGGATCGTGTTTCTTCTCTCAATTAAAATAGCCATTTAACCATCTCCCTCCAATTTGTCAGATGGCTGGAGAGAAAATTAAAGGATTTTTCTCAGCTTGGTGGCTCAGGTCTGTGTGAGTGGTTGGGTGGAACTGGGACTTCTAAGAAGTCGACCCGGGGCGTCTGTCCAGTGTTGCGGCCATGGCTCTCGTCATAGCTGTCATTTGCTCTAATCTCTCCCCAGACTGCCCAGCTCTATTTTAAAGCCTCTTTTCATCCACAGCCAAGAGAAGCAAGGACAGAGTTGCAATCTGAGCACTGGAACCGAGCTTCTCTGGAAACTAGTATTGAGTTTTACACAGGTTTTTTTTTTTTTTTAGACATAAATACACTCTAAATTTTATCAGTATTTTATCATGCCATATTCATTATCTAAAATTAACAAAATTACCATTATTTTTAGTCCACAAAAACATCATCTTATTTGATGGAAGACACACATATTTTACACAAGTGTTTAGGGTCAGTAAAAGTTTGGGTTCAGTAGGATTATTATTTTTTTTTTAATTTTTGAAAGAAATACATGGACTTTTTATTCATCACAGAAACGCTGAAAAAAGCAGCACAACTGTTTTCAATATTGATAATAATATGAAATCTTTCTTAAGCGGTTGCTGAATGAAAGCTGAAAACTCAGTTTTACTGTCAGAGAAAAAAACCTGCATTTTTTAAATATATCAAAATAGAAAAGTTATTTTAAATTGAAGTAACGTTTCACAATATTACTGTTTTTACTGCGTTTTTGATTAAATGAATGCAGCCTTGGTGAGCCAAAAGTCAGAAACATAAAAATAAATAAATAAAAAATAATAAAATGAATGACCCCAGACCAGACATTTGAGTGCTAGTGTATTTATTAGTTTAATTAAACATACCAACATTTAACACATTATGTAAACACTGTCCTTGTTGCGATAATCTGTGCTGCATAACATATTCTGTATATTCTTTATGCTTTAGTTATTCATTCTCCGTGTTTTAATGTGCTGATAAATCAAATATACAGAATGCGTTTAGGTGAGTTCGTCATGTCTTTGTTTTCTCCGTTTTACTGATAATCAAAAGAGCCTTCTTTAGTGTACGTGTTTGTCAGTAATTTCATTGAGAAGATTAAAGCTGACACAGCTTTAACTTTCTTTGATTTTTTTTTAACTGAATGGTTGGCCATAGGGGGCCACTGTTGCAATTTCACAAATAATGTGTGGAAGCACTCATATTTTACGAGTATTCAGAAGGAAGACATTGATGCATTCCAACTGTTGTTAATCATATTGCTGTAGTGAAACTGATTAATCTATCACAGAAACTTGGAATAGTATTTTGTAATGTGCATGTTGCAGAATTAGAAATCGTATTTATGAACTCTCTTGATGCGCCTCTAACATTCCAATTCTTAGGCTGGAAACTTCAACTTATAGGATAAGTGCATGTTTGTATATGCCCATGTGAGCCCACAAGAGAGGGTGGGTGCAGACAAATGTATGTGGTCTCTTCATTAGTCTTTCCATCATGTGGTTTACAGAGTAATCATATTGGTCATAATCTAATAATCATCACATTATGTAGATTTGTTTGAAGAAAGCTCTATGTGTGTGTATGCGTCTCACATGTCTGTGCCATATGGGTGTAGAATGTTCTCTTCCATGTTAAAATGTGCTGAAAAGTTCAAACACGAGGTTCATGTCTGAAGGTCAAGTTGTTTGTCTTGACAGTTGGACGACAGGTAAATGGGGAGTGTGCAGTAGAACATGTGGAGGTGGGCAGCAGACGCGAAACATCCGCTGCATGAGGAAGGTGACATACCAGCGGGAGGAGGTGGCGGCTCACTCCTTATGTCCAGTAATGGCTCTGGCCCAACTACAGCCCTGCAACACACAGGCATGTCCTCCAGAGTGGAGCACCGGCTCCTGGTCACAGGTATGTTTACATAAATATGCAACCTACAGTGCAATTAATAAGATGTCATCATCACGTGTGCAACTAAAGTCAATAGAAATCTTTTGCAACATTATAATAATGTCTTTACTATTTCAACATAGTAATTCACATATGCACAAAAATATTAAGCAGCTCAACCACTCAAATTGAAACTCATGGGTTTAACACAGATAATAATAAGAAATATAAGAATAATGTGATTTCTTGATTAGCAAATCAGGATATTTTAATAATTTCTAAAGGATCATGCGACACTGAAGACTGAAATAATGTCTGCTGACAATTCAGCTTTGCCATCACAGGAATAAATTAAAATGTAAAATAAATAAATAAATAAAATTGTAATAATATTTCACAATATTACTCTTTTTACTGTAGTTCTAAACAAATACATGTGGCCTTTGTGAGCATAAGAGATTTCTTTCAAAAACAATAACAATTATACGGACTCTCAACGTTTAAAGTCATGTATGAAACACAATATATATAAATATTTCATACAGATTCTGCTATTCTTTTGTAAAATCCCACATTAACAAAAGCCAGGTCCTTAAGAGCACTAGTAGTGCATTTTGTCTTGTTTTGTGGTATTAATTGGTTTGTCTCGCTTTAAAACATTCCATCCTGTTTGATAAAGTTACAGAAATAAGTGTCAAAAATGTAATGTAAATGTAAAAGATGTTTTTAACATTTTTAAATTAACTTCAAGTCAGCCTCATGTACATTAAACCTAATGTTAGCTAACTCTCAAACCTAATGTAACCTCTAAAAACCTAACCTCTTAAACCTAATGTAAGCTAACTCTCCTTCCTTCCATGAGGCCAAAAAAAAAAAAAAAAAAAAGAAATTAGCTCTTTATTTTGTTCCTGTTCATTTGCTTGCCATTGTGTAAATAAGTTATAATGAATAAAGTTTAGTTGTCTAAGCTTGACCAGAACATGTTTCTGAAATTCTGTTATATACCCTTTTATAGAAATCCTTCCCTAAATTACAACACAGGCATATTACATTTTGAAAAGTGACCGAAATATGAGGTGAAGACTTGAGATGCCCAGAACAACATAATGGAAACCGTTCTGTATGTCACATCAGTGCTGAAACACTACTGCCCCCTGCTGTTATTGCACATGTAGCACATTGTGCTCCATCTGTCTTACTGTTGCATTGAATCTGTTCTGCATATATTGGACTTCTAAAAGTGTCCTCTCTGAAACTTTAGTGATGCTGGAAAGTGTACATTTAGATAAATGACTACTTCACACATGGTTTAATCTAATATTTTTAATAACTTTTGCTGTTGCTACTTGTGTATACTTTAAGTTTCCAAGTACACACACAGAAGCCAGAGAATGTTGAAATACGTTGCCAGAGTTCATTTCATCATTAGCAGCAATGCTGAATTCTTTTGAATTCTTTAACCTTTTTTCAGTCTAAACTTATGTAATATGTTAAATCATAAATCTTTGAGAAGATTTTGCAGTAGTAGTTGATATTGACTGAATTCCTCCTAAAGGTCAGGTTGAGTTCGCACCGCCTGTCTCCAGAGTTCATATCAACTGTTGTTTGAGGTGAACTGCATGCCACTGTGACCTTTACAATGTTTAAACTAACATAACTCAAAGACCACATGAGGGTAACTCTCTCTCTCCGTGTTTGTCTTTCTTTCCTTTCTTCTCTCTAGTGCTCTAAGACCTGTGGGCGAGGGTTGAAGAAGCGCAGTGTTTTCTGCAGGAGCACCGATCCAGGTGCCAGGGCTGTGGTGGTGCCTGACAGCATGTGTAAATTACACCTGAAGCCCAAAGCCCAGGAGACCTGTGTGCTGAGCCGCTGCCCCAAGAATGAGCATCTTCAGTGGATAACTACCGCCTGGGGAGAGGTAAGGCCCCTCATAGGAATATCAAAGGTTATGTAGAAGTGCTCACACAAACATATTAAAGAGACATTTCCATGGAAATCTCACAATGCTAAGTTATATCCATATCCAGGCAGCATACATGCCATTTAGGCCATAGCAAAGTTCTTTTTTGTTATTCACTTACCCCAAAATGAAAATTCTGTCATTAATTACTCACCCTCATGTCGTTCCAATGTCGTTCCATTTGTGATCCTCAGTCGTATGATGAGCAGTTTTTCCTCTGCAGCCATTTACAAAGACAGCAAGTGTTTGATTCCTAGTTTTTAAAAATCTTTTTAGATTTAAAAAGTTGTTTAGTGTATTCCAGCCTTACGATGTTTATTCAAAAACAAGCATTTGATTCCAGACAGCTAAGTGGCACTTTCCATTCTGCATTTGTACTTCAGTATCTCTCTCCTCCAAACTAGCAGCATTGTTAACCCGTTGCTATGGAGGAACAAGTTGATCTTGTAGCGAGGGGTCAGGAATATTTATGTGTGTGTATATATTTATTTAAGTACCTTATTATCTGATTGCCCGGTTGTTTAATGCAGTGTTCGGCCTCCTGTGGAGCAGGAGTAAAGAGAAGAGAACTGCAATGTGGGGAGAAAGACTCCCAAGGAGGCTACACAGAGTTCCCTGCAAGGAGGTGCAGGAACCTCCGCAAACCCCAAGCAGACCTTCAACAAGCTTGTAATAATGGCCCCTGCCCAGAGCCCCCACCTCCCCAGCTCCTCCAGCCTGGCCCAGACAGGGGTGGCGCTTCCGTGACTCTGGGCTGGTACTCCTCTCCTTGGCTGCAGGTATGCGCAACTAGCGCATCACAACCAATCAGGGTTCTGTTCTGTTTCTATTCTGCTAGACATCTAATCTTACTGTCCTGTCTGTGTGTCTTTCAGTGCACAGTGTCCTGTGGTGGTTGGGTGCAGACACGTAGCGTTCAGTGTCTGAGACAAGGGCGTCTGTCAGTGGGCTGTTTACCTCATCAGAGACCCATAAGCACACGGGCCTGCAATACACATTTCTGTCCTGGTCCAATCCCAGCCCCTGTCCCACCTCCCTCACCTACACTTAAAGGTACAAGCTGGTTTACCTTTAAATTTTCATTTATTGATTTAGAAGGAGTAAGCAGATAAACATCAAATTTTCATTTTTGGGTGAACTATCCCTTTAAGTCCAATGTTCACTACTGTTCAAATGTTTGAGGTCAGTGAGACTTTAAGAAATTAGTAATTTTGTTTCATCTTGGATGCTTAAAAGTGACAGTAAAGACATTATAAGTTACAAAAAATGCTCTTTTACAGTTTATTTTTATTAAAGAATCCTAAAAAAATGTGTCTTAGTTTTCACAGAAACATTAAGCAGCACAACTGTGATACTAATAAGAAATGTTTCTTAAACGCACTAATTCTGACCCCTAATTATTTGGACTTTAGTGTATATATTTTATCACAGCTAGTGTGTTATCTGTTTGTGTGTTCCTGAGAATCAAACCCAAGACTCTGGTGTTGTAGGCAATACTACATAGCAATTTATCCTAAAGAGGTATTAACATGAGATGTGCTTCAATACAAACGTACAAGATCTGTTCAGAATAGAACTGAGAAGAAAGTGAAATTGAAATGGAATAGTGAAATTGAGATAATTTTTTCGTGTAGTTATCAGTGTATTGAGCTGAAATGGGCTGCCAGTGAAACGAGACAAAGAGAAGTGAAGTGTGAGTTGTATTCGGAATCATTTGCAGAGGTTTTGTTGGGCATGTGGGCCAGTCGGCTAGTAAAGCATTATAATCTAGGGGTTAAAAGAGTTTAGATAAGGAGTTGTGCTGCAGATTCAAGTATGAATGGCCTGATCTTCTCCAAGTTGTACATCAATCTGCATGACCAGACTGTCTTCACAATAAGAAATTAAATGAAACTAATCTACTCTCATTGTTAGTTCCCTCCCTTCCTTGCAGTTATAGAACACAACCAGGAAACTGATTGTTGGCACATGGATCAAACCAGCAACCTTTGGTTGCAATCCCTGAGTTTTGAACACTACACCATTCCAACTTTTCCCTCAACTCTTATCTCACTCAACAGTACCTGTAATGCCTGAATGGGCTTACCACTGAATGTTCATTGGTTATGAAATTCTGCTGAATGTTTATTTGTTATGAACTCTGATATCTTGTTCTGTAGCTCAGCTGGTGGAGCATGAAGTTAGTAATGTCATGGGTTGGATTCTCAGGAAACATATACTGATAAAATATATTGCTTTAGATAAAGCATCTGCCAGTTGCATAAATGCATGTATATTTTCCACAGCCACAGTGTTAATTGTTGTTGTTGCTTTGTTTACATATGTATCATATGCAATTATCAAGCTTGATAAACATCAGTGGTGTTTACACTTATTTATTATGTAGTGGGAAAAACAATGCACTTTTTACTTGTTGATTTGGAATCACATTGGTAGGTCAAATGACTGTCTGCCATGATTTAAATAAGAAACTGAAATACATTGTGTGATTAAACAATATCATTTAAATGAACGAATCATAATCGGCATGTACTGTACACAGCTTATTTATAATGATAATGAAAACATAAAGATCTCTCCTCCACAGAGAACAGAAGTCTGTGTGTGTATAATTGCTTATTCTCATGGGAGAACTGAGTGTGAGGGCCTTCAGAGCGCAGGTCAGGTCCTTATCGGTATGCCGGTGCAGTATTTCCAAGTGCTTTGCAACATCCCCACAATGTCTCTATTCAGAGTAAACAGCACTTACAAAAACACTGAGTGTTTGTGTTAGCACTGTTGTTTTTAAGGGTTAGAATAAATAATAGTCATTATGTGTCTTTCCATTAACAGAAAACCAGCCTTGCATCGACTTCTTCAGCTGGTGTCATCTGGTGCCTCAGCATGGTGTTTGCAATCACAAATTCTATGGTCAACAATGCTGCAAGTCCTGCTCCGCCAAAAGACAGTAAAGCAGAAGACCTTCCCATGAGCCTCCTCACTGACTCTGAGATCTGTAAATCATTGTCATACAGATAACCACTATGGAGTATAGCAAGTTGATATTTGCGAGATGTGGTAAAGAGGCATTCCACTGGACCATGTCTTGAGAGATAATGAGAGCCTGGTATCCAAGGAACTCGAGGAACTCTGTACATTGGAAAACTACACCTGGTTCTGGCTTCATCAGTGGTGTATCATAACTAGAATTGTGGTTCTTCAATAACCAATCTGCAGAACATTTATATTGTAAATATCTCTGCTTGTTCTTTTATGATTGGAGACGTGACCAGAGGTTAAAGCCATTAAGAGACTTCCATCATCAGTTCATTTGTATGCTACATTGAAGACCACCAGATGAACATTGGTGTGACTGTGCTCATCTGAAGTACTGTAGAATTTCGGTCAAGTCTTTGAGCTCCAGGCGGACCCATGAGACTCTATGTTTACCAGCAGATCTGTACAGAACTGAGGGATGATTCACACAGCGTTCCACTGTACTGCTTTTTAATAATTTCATCTATGTATACATGTTCTCGATGGTTGTCCGTTGCTTCGTGTCTTGCTGCTTTTTTAACCTCTTGCATGTGAGTGCTTTTTTTTAAGACAAGTGTCGAGTTAAGAGAAGTTGAACGTTTGGCACAGCTCATAGATGTCAGTTTCAAAACAGTGGGCCAATCAGAGGAAACCAGGGGCACAGACAAACATCAGTAACAACTGTACATCATTTTATTATCTTAATTTTAAAAACAGTACTTTTCACAGGGAACAGCTCTTCAGCCTGTAATCATTTAGTCTAAAGGTGTGGTCACATTAGTGAAATTTTGCATCAAAATTGTTCCTTGTCTAATGTTAGTAGTGTAGTGATGTATGAAGCACAGCTCACACAGAAGTCACTTTCAAACCAAGCAACTTTATTTGTTGGTCAACGCAACAAATCTATGTTTCACAACTTGAACCTGTTACAAAATCTGCATGGGAAAATAATTCTTCCTCAAGCAAAAGTCTTGATCGCATGGATTCCTATTGAAATGACTGGAATTTGCTGAACAACGGTAAATGTGACCACACCTTGATACCGCCTGCTTTACATGACTGCTTTAGTTTGAATCAGTGAATGTGCTGAATCAGTGTTTTTGGTGCAATAAGAAGTGCAGCGCACATTCTCATTCCATCATCTTTTTTTTTCACAAAATAATTAAACATATTTTATTAGTTCACTATAAAAAACACTCTGTTCTTGTATATATATGAACTAACTTCAACTTTTCCTCCTGTCATGAGAGCATCCACATCTCTACCATGCAGGCTTCTGATTTTAATACACATTAACATGCATCAGTTTTCTCTGTGAAACGTGTAACCTGTAAGGTTGAGTCACAATCCCGTCTGATCGCCACAGAAGACTAAAGCAGACAAGATGGATTTATCATTAATGAAGATCAGTGCTTCTGTTGAAATATATAGTGGGTCCATTGGCGGATGAACTAAGTTTGTGTATGACTGCCAGTATGTGTGTGAAATTTGTCTGCGGTTCATGCAGCGCTGTCTCATGCGGTGTGCGAGAGGGATGAGCTCGTCCCAGATGTGTGTCAGAGAGAGTAGAGTAGGTTGCTCTCAGTCACTTTGTAGGGACCAATTAGTGTGCAGGAGTGAGTGTCATGTTCAGGAGGAAGAGAAGCTAACAAACCCAAGCCTCTCAGGACTTGGGACCTCATCTCAGGTTACTTTGTTAGTGCTCTTCATCTCTTTCTGCTTGCTGCAGTTGTTGGGCCACTATTTTGTGCTTAACCGAAGAGTGGAGTCTCACCTTAGTAATACTTTCCCAGGGTTCAGGTATGATGGTCCTGCTCTGACAATAAACATTGGAGCAGATGGCACATGAGGTGTAGCAGAAGCACTCATTCTGTGCTCATTTCCTTCCAAACACTTCATTAACAGTCCCCAACCCCTTGAAGGGATATTTGCATACACTAATAAGTGCAAAAGGTCATTTTTAAAAGTAGATGTTGCACTGCAGGGTGCTCTGTCCTTTTTTCCTGAGCCATTTTAAACAGTACTTTCGTTTATTAGTTGTATAACTTCTGGATCTCCATTAGTGAACTCTTGGTCTCACAGTGTGTTTCATTTGTTCATTATTTGACATTAAAAGTGTTCCTAATCACGAACAAATAGAAAAATACATCGTTTAGCCTTGTTGTGATGTTACGTATGTTGTACAAATATCTTTCATCACTGTCTGAATTGAAAAAGGGTGTAATTTATTATGTCAAAAATAGTTCCTGGGCTACAGTGTTGTCTGGAGAGGAGCTTTCTGTATAATAGCACACTGCAAGTGTGATATTTAATATTTTCACTGAAAGTTTTATAATAAAAAGTATTTGATTTACTGTATTCCTCTAGTGATGCTTTTTCCACTAGTGCTCGGAGAGATTGAGATGAGTACAGGAAGCCTCTGAATGATGAAAATGCTGCAATATTTAAAGAATGAAAAATGATATGCTGTCATCACAACAAATTACTATGAACATCAAGCCAGAAGCAAAGTGGATTTTAAACAAAATACTCCCTAGCATATTATCGACAAGGAAAACAGGCTTGTTCTCTGTGCAAATATAAAATGTTATTTAAAATGTGCCACTAAGGGACAGACATAATAATATAATAAGCTATAAACACATGAAAAAACCCTCTGATACAAATAGCAATGTTTCCCAACCAGTTGTAACATTAAATACCCAAAACATTCATATTCCTCCCTTTTCTCTTTGTGTTCCAGGCAAAATGTTCCTGCATTTACTAAATGCCCTAGTAAATCACAATGAGTTTGCTTAAGTCCTCCCTCGACACTCTTGAATATCTTTTCCTCCTCATAATATGCACGCATTTGTCATTTGTGTCATATTTCTTAATTTCCTGTGTGTACAATTATTTGTGATCATTTCTGACAGCATCGAGAGACTCGTAAAAGAAAGGAGCAATTCTTCATCCGTGTCACTGGATGCACAGACACTGATTATGAAGACTGAATACCAAGCACGTCTGTGGCATTTCTATATCCTCTTGTGCATGGTGCAAACTCTCTGTTTCTCTCTCTCCTTGCCTGCGCACACAAATATGCACACAGTCTCTTCACTCTCTAGAATTCACTGTGTCACTTCAGCTCTGGCAGTATGATGCTTCTTTAAAGTACCCCTCCTTCTGACAGGCTTTCTAATCACATCTTAAGAGGACACTGGCCATGAACACTCTCTCTTTCACTCTTTTCCAGTTCTCAGATGAAGTGAGAGCTGTCATCTCTTCCAGACATATCTCCAATCATCAGCTAAAGGATATCATCCAGCATTCACTCTGTGCCCCTGCGGACAATAGATCACTCAAAGCAGTGTTCGAACTAGGGCTGCACGATAAATCGAAATGGAATCGAGATCGCGATTCGACAGAAGGTGCGATTGTCATGCGTATCTTTCAGTGAAGCACAGTTCTGTGATCAGCAGTAAATCTCCATCCGAAGGCCAGAGGGCGCTCTCGCGCTGAAACTCCAAATATGCCCCGAAGAAGTAATCCAGGAAATGCCTATCGCTGCAGCTGAATAAACAGAAGATTCAACTGCTTTCATTGATTCAACGTGACTAATAAACGCACGACTACGGCAATATACGGTTTATCGGAGTTCTTATTATTATAATTCTCATTAAAATAAAGTATATGGAGGAGCGGATTCCAGACGCTCCACCAAAAGAAATCCCGGAGGGAGGCGGAACGGAGGTGGATCAGGGGGAGGGATGGTGGGCCAGGCACGTGTAGTGGAAGAGGGCCTGGAGATAGAGGTAAACCAGGGTGCCAGGGCGGGACCGGCAGGGCAGGAGGCCAGGGCGGGGCCGGCAGCTTGGCAGGCAGCAAGAGCGGAGCCTGCCTCAAGGAGGGAGCCGGGCGGAGGGATCATCAGCGGGCTCCGCCGCTTCGGAAAGGCCAGAAGCGAGCCCCGCCGCCTCGGAGGGAACCTCAGCGGGCCCCGACGCCTCGGGAGCCTTGCGAGCTGACCACGCCACTCGCACTGACATCAGTGGGGATTCCTGCATGCTGCGTATCAGCCTGGGATGCTCCAGGAACGGGCGTGAGGTACTGGGTGCGACAGACGAGGCCTCTGATGCCCCGTGGACTGCCGCTTCAGGGGAACTGTAAGCGGACACCGCCGCCTCGGGGGAACCGTGAGCGGACACCGTCACCTTCGGGGGCGCTGCAGCCTCATCGGCTGCCGCCGGAAGCGCTGCAGCCTCCTTGGCCCCCTTCGGGGGCGCTGCAGCCTTGTCGGCCATCACGGGAGGCACTGCAGCCCCCTTAGTTGGGGAACGTGCCAAGAACTCCACAAACCCCTCAAAGGATACATGACCGGATCCTAACATGCTCCAGTGACTAATGGGCTCATCAAGGGCATCGCTCCTTGAGTTCTCTCCAGCGCTGGAAAGCTGATCCGATATTTACACGGGTCCTACTTCTTGCCTTAGCGTTCCGCAGACGTTTTCCTCTTTTGTTTTTTTATCCGCCATCTCTGTCTTTCTGTCGCTCGGCTCGGCTAATGTACGTCCCATGCACTGAAAGCTCTCTCCTCCACATCACGAGTAGACACGACCCTTATTGCTGATTGGCTACAAGTTTGTTTTGCTATTCGGCCCGAATCAGTTTTCTAAAGTGTTTTTGAAAAATT